AGAAAGACAAGTACCAAATGATTTTACCCATCTGTGGAGCATAACAACAAAGCAAAAACTGAAGGAACAAAACAGCAGCAGACTCACAGAACCCAAGAAGAGACCAGCAGTGCCGAAAGGGAAAGGGGTTAGGAGGGTGGGTGGGAAGGGAGGGAGAAGGGGATTAAGGGGTATTATGATTAACCACATGTAATATAGGGGTGGTCACTGGGAAGGCACTATAGCACTTAGAAGATAAGTAGTGACTTTATAGCATCTTACTCTGCTGATGGACAGTGACTGTAATGGGGTGTGTGAGGGGACTGGATTATAGGGAGGAATGTAGTAGACACAATGTTGTTCATGCAAAATCTTCATAAGATTGTATATCAATAACACCTTAATAAAAAATATTAAAAAAAGATAAAACAGTTTTGCATGTTTGACTTTAACACAATGAGCCATCAAAGTCTTCAAAGATTCCATAGTGACACAATACTTTTCTCTAAGACCTGGTGCAAAGCATCCCTTCATTCTATCCCAGACCCAACAGCTTCCCAGGTCAATAACAATGTTTAAGTCAACCAAATAATCAACATTTTAAATTAGTATGTGCATTTGATCAGATGACAGTGATCAAATAATCAGTTCCGAAGCCTGCTTTGTGGATGACTAGTCACCGATATCATCACCCAAAAACCTTAAAAAAAGGATTCTTTATCCATCCTTCTCCCTCCTCGCCTTCCTCTTCTCTCCCCTTCTCCCCCTGCCTCCCTCCCCCACCCTCTCTCCCTGTCTCTGGACCTACACAGCCTTCTGTGACCACTGGATAATTACAAGCTTTGCTGCAGGGTCTGTTCCGAGACTTGCATTTGCACGGTCACACGGAAATCAACCAAAGGAAGGCCTGTATCAGTTTAGTTCTGGACGGAAGTACACCCGGCATAACCGTGACTGTTTAGCACAAGCAGAATGAACAGGTAACACTGCTACTTTCTGGGCACAAGCTGGATACCCACCCTCTAACTATTTTTGCATGACAAACTGTAAATGGGCTTGGGATGGTTTACATACTAATTTGCAGAGACTTAAGTCCAGTTGTAAATGAATACTGCAAAGTATTTTCTGACAACTTATTAAAAATTTAAGTTATCATTCCAAACCCTCAGGCTACTTGATTTTTAAAGTTAAATTTTCTTCTGAAATAGTGATATGTGATGCCTGTCAAAAATCCAGAGCCATAATAGCTTTAGGCTACTTTCCAAAAATAAGATAGCAGCCTGTGTCAGTCAGCAAGCGTGGGTGCACTGTTTTCCATGCTTCTTTAGGGGCTGATAACTCCTACGGTTGAAATTTGCCTGCCACTTGGCCAAAAAGACTGGCTCTGTGCTAACAATATGAAACAAATTATGTCTTGTCCACTGAGGTGACAAAACAAGAGTGGACAGCTTGCTTTTGATAAAAAAAATGACTTCCCCTTTCCAAATGAGCAGTGAAGTCCTCACCGGAACATTCCATGTTGAAATGTTTCCTTTCCTTACTTCATTTCCTCCTCTTGGAGAAAGGGGACTTAAGGAAGAAACTCAGTGTGGCCTGCACTGCGAGGCATTTTACAAATTATTTTGTTCTGGTAAAGTGGCTGATTCTAAGAAGAAGGGGTTTGTCTAGGCTTGAGAGCTTATTTGGGGTGGGGGAAGGGAGAAGATATTTTTTTAAAAAGTAAGTGTCCTCCTTGAGAATTGCCTTTCCTATCTCAAGAAAATAGGCTTTTTAATTCTAGATCTATGCCTCTCAGCCAGGGTAGCACCATCCACCCTGGGGGTGTTTGCAAATGTATAGATGTGAGGGGAATTGTTTGGTTTTCCTACGTCTTGTGTAGGCATGCTCCTGGCACTTAGGGGGCAGGACCGGAGATGCTGGTCTCACCACCATGTGCCACCCTGTCAAGCCCAGCCCACCAACAGGACCACCCTTGCCTCAGTGAGATGTGCATCCCACCATTTGCTGGGTGTTTCTCTTATGACATGTGAAATGAAAGGATATCTTTATATTATTCTCACTAACACTGACATGACAAGTATTACCTATGTGCGATCTTCTGATGGCAACAAAGAAAATAAATGAAGGTCATCAACATTTTGTCCATGGCCAGGGTGTCCGCACTGTCCATGTGTATTAAATATCTGATCAAGGAATGTTAAATATGCTCATCTTTTCATTCAGCTTTAAATAAATTCTATACCTTGCTTAATGAAATTCTGAAAAACAGATATTCTTACATGATATGAATAATCAGCTCTTGTTTTCTGAAATTTGGATTTTTCTTGAGAAATTTACTCAGTGAAAGAAGTAATTCTTCAGTAGTTATTTATAAAGCAAATGTTTATCTAAAGTGAATCATTTAATTATTGTGTTGGTTTTCTATTACTCACATCACAATTAACAGGACATTCTTAGGGGGAAAACACGACCCAAAGCCAGCACAGTGGCGGGGCCTGCACTGCCTGGTCTCGGACAGGCAGTAAGGCTCACAGCCCCTCAGGGTACACAGGCCTCTCCGTGCTACAGGGCTGAGATCCTGGGGGACCCACATCCTAGCTGGGATATGCAGGTGTGAATGCCACCCCCCCGCCGACGTGCCACATGGAGTAACAATAGCAGCAGTAATAATAAGTATAATTATTATTATCACTTGCATTTTACAAAGAACATCTTATCTTGTTCTGATCAAAGTATAGAAACAGAAGCTGCAAACCTTCAGTACCTATGAGTAGGTGCACGTGTGTGTGTGTGTGTGCATGCATGTGCGTGTGTGTTGGGGTGGGGTGACCATTTGCTTGAATCCTGTTTTAATAGCCTGTTTTTCCTCAATTAAAGTTGAGCTTTGTTTTTGTTTCCTTTTAAAGGTTATATGTGTGTCTATGTGTGTATGTCTGTATTTTCCAATGTTTTGTTTGATTTTTTTGGCCAACTGATGTGACAATGTTTCGCCCTAGTGTTTTGATTCTCACACAGGGAACAATTAGACTCAAGTCAGATTCACCCGACCTCGTTGTAGAGCGTGTGGAGTGCGCTGCATACACGTTCATTGATACGAACCCAGCAAATCTAGGTCATAGTCTTTATTTTGCCCGTGAACAATTTTCCTAAAGTAGCTGGTAAAGAACCAGGGGCCTGATGGCATTTTGTCTATAGCAAACCTCACCAGGCCAAGGTTTCCATCCTTTGGAAATCTTTAGGTCATTTGCATTTTTCACCATTAAATAGAAGTTAAAATAGTTTTGAAGAACCATACATTTTGGGCACATAGTAAAATATAGCAAGTGTGTTCAACAGCCTTTTAGAGGCGATAGATGTGAGTGTGCACACACTGATGTACGTCTCGCCCCGGGTGTGCGTGGCTGTTGGTGGCAAGTCAGAGGGGAATGCTGCAAAGTGCATGAATGGTATTTAAAGTGATCACTTTGCACAGGAAGAATTTTCCTTGTTCTTGCTCTCTTTTTTTCTTTCTTTTAAATAAAAGGGAAATTGTATATAGCAGCTCAGGTAGATTCTGTAACATGCCACTAAAATTATCCAACCTAGGCCGGTCCCAAGGGCTCACTTTTTATGTAACGATGAACTTTTGATGCACAGAAGCCATGCAGGTTATCCTACTGGTTCATCAGGGTTTGGGGGTATTGTAGGCACAAAGTTTTCTCCTAAGACAAAATTAATAGTTTTAAAAGCCCATAGAATATAAAGGGCAATATGCTAAGATTCCACATTTGTGGGCACATCTCAGTATGTATTTCTCTCTGCATCAGGGAATCTAGAATCATAGTGGGAACTGACCACACGGTGGTGGTGATTTTAAAGGGCATTGTATACCTAGTTTAATTTTCCCAATGTGTCACTCACTTAAATGGCATAGATTATATTTTTTTAAATGACTTAGGGGGGAATACAAGTAACTATTCAAATGTCACATCTACATTCATCTTAACTGTGACTTTCGCATGCAGTAGTGAACACTCACCTGGATGTTTATCGTTGCCACGTTAAGACAGTGTCTCCGTCTCCTGTGTTAGAAAACACTGCAAACTTAAGGCCCCTTGTGTATATTCTTTCTTCTCTTCCTACCAACAAACGGGTTCTCCCTTCTGTTCCTGGACAACAGAGATGTCATCGGCTGTTATGAGAAAAGACAGGTTCCTTAATTCAGACCTCGAAGGAGAAAATCGTTTTACTTCACCTTTAGTGAGAATTTCATTTGTAAATGTTCCTGTCAATTGAAACATACCGAAGAAGACAGTGACTGAGCACTGCAATGGAGCAATGTGGCAGGAGGAAATTAGGCCACAGCAGAAACTGGCAACACTGGGATTCGCTCTCTGGTAGGCACGAACCCTTTCGAGACCATAAATCTCTCCCACATCTCCATCATTGGGTAAAGGTCACTACTTTTATGCATTCACCCCAACCCTCTTTCGATTTAAAAAGACAGAGCTCAATCACAAAGTGCATGGGAGTGTTTCGGAATATGACTAAATTAAATTTCACAAATAAAGTGAATGCACATCATCAAACCTACCAAGGGAGACGGGGTGGGAGCGGAGGGCTGGGAGGGGAGGAGAGAGAGCATGGGCAGCCGCCCAAGATGGGCTTCAGCTTACCCGGGCCTTTGTTCTAGAGGTCACTCCTCCCTGTTTCCACTGGGAACTGTGGAAAGTGGGGCAAAGATTGCAGCCCCAGGGTGGCAGGTGCCCTGAGACACAGGGGTTGGATGAGACTTGAGCTGATTCTAGAAGGGAGAGCATGGCGCCTCAAGAGCACAGTAGCCCCCTCACCCACTCTGGTTTCCACACTCTGTTACTGGCCATCAGCCTCAGTTCGGAAACAGATGAACCTGCTTCCATCCTTCCATCAGAAGGGCAGCAGCGCCCTGACACTGCGTCATGGGGTCTGTGCCCCTCGCCTCGGCTCACCTGACCGCAGGCAGGCGTTGTAGTAGCATCTGTGTCATCGCAAGAAGGTGAGTGTGCAGCAACAGGTATTTTGAGGCAGACCACGTTCACGTAACTTTTATTACAATATGTTGTTACAGTTATTCTATTTTAGTATTGGTCATTGTTGTCAATCTCTTTCTGTGCCTAATTTATAAATTAACGTATGTACACAGTCGCAATTAGTTTTCTTTTGGCCGGTATAGCTTACAGAAGTTTTGAGAATCTTCTATAGTCTTTTTAATACATGCTGCTGAGCAATACTTAAGTTATTCTGAACTTAAGCAATTAATTACTTCAGACCGCTATGGAAAGACTTGCATTTATTCTTACTAAAGCTCGCCTTGCCTTCTGCAGTTTCCTTGCTGTACCATACAGTGGATGTGTTGGTACCCCCGGTTCACCGCATGCATGCGGTACAAGCTCACTGAGAGAGGATGGGAAGAGACAGACCAGACATTTGTACTGGGCTTTCAAAGATAAGCAGGACCTTGAGAAGTGGACATCACAAAGAAGGCTGTATTTTTTTCTCATTCTACTATATACTTGCTTCTAGCTCCTGATCGCCTCTTTCTCCAATGCTCCTCGAAATGTTACCTTACACATAATGGTCATTCTTGTGGGACAAGAAAAACAAAAACATAAAATGCCAGCACCACTACAAAAAGGGTTATCTTTATGATTTTACTTTATGCTGTAAGCTGTCGGGAATTTTAGAAATTCCAAGAGAAGTCGATTCATTTGTGAAGTAAAAGTCTCTTAGAAACGAAGAAATAAAAGATAAGTAAAGAAAACAGAGGTTCTCAGAGGGTGATCTCCCCCACCCACTGCTAGCCCTGACCCAATTCATTGCAAAATGTGAGAGTTTAGGGGAGGGGATTGGTGCCATGACAAACAGAAGGTGGAACTGACCTTTGATATGATGGGCAAGGGATGATCAACATACTGCAAGTTTTCAGGCAGACACAGCAAAGAAGAACCTGCTTCAAATGCCAATGCAAACAGCACTGCAAAGCAATGGTCCTAGTTAAACGACTTCTTCAGAAATCAGACAACGAATGTCATAGCCAGGGCTCAAACTCTGCCTCCACAAATTTGTACAGAAGTTTCACTTTTGAAGCTTGGAAATTCTTTATGTTTCAACAGTGAGAATTTTACTAAAAATGTTTGTAGAAGGAAGTAATTTTTAATTTTTAGTCTTGCTTTTATTTTCCATGCTGCTTATTTGCCAAATAACTTGTGTGAGCCATTTGTGTCTTGCCTGACAAGTAGGAATTTAGGCCATGTCAGAAACTGAGAGTGAGAGAAGTGGCTGTGTATTTACGCATGGAACTTTCCAAGGACACATGTAAATGCCATTTTGCTAAGTAAATGATAAGAACTGTGGGGGCAAGTCCACACACATTTTTTGTTATGACTTTAGTTCTAAGCACAATGACCTATAAGATACAGAAACTCAACTGCTTGATTTTGAGGAGAACAGCAGCAAAGGGTTTATATGCGTGGATCGGGAGGGCATTCTGTGAGTGAAGTGTATTGATTCCCATCATCTCTAATCAGAGAGTGTTATCAGACAGGATTCGGGAGAGACTATGCCTAGAGTCAAGCTTAGCAAATAACATCAATGCTGAAGGAATCCTAGAAGATCTTAAATACTTGTAATCTGCAGATTTCTTTTAAAAAAGATATCAACTATGCATGTAAGTTTATAATCAATTCAAAATAAAAAGTTAAAAATGTGTATATTAAGAAGATAATAGGCTTGATTTTTAAATATGTATTTTTGTTTCTAAGCATGTATATAAGCATACTCCATACATTGGAGTGAATCACTTATTTAAGTATCTGCCAACGATTTGAAAGTGTGGTTGTATTTTCCTTTCTTTCCCCATTGATTAAGTTTCTAGGTGACGTTGGGCACATCCCTCATGCCCTGCCGTGGGTCAGTGTCCTCCCTCTGCTAACACAGCCTGGGAGCGAGGGGCGTGGTGACCTGCGTCTGCAGACCTTAATGAAGAATGTGATACTTTTAGCAGAAGAGGAACTGTACTTTTTATTTCATTATCAATAATACACCTTCGGGGGTTCTCAGGAAGCTGAGGCTTGTTTGGCTCAGGCTGGCTGTGTTTCATCTTTCTCTCCATCTCTCGGGTCAGCACACCGTCCGAGACTCACCTGACTGGGCAGTGCTGCTCTGGATTGATCCTTCAGGCAGTTCTCCTCCCACGTCCAGTGCCCTTTGTTCTCTTATAACATGGCCTCAAGACTTCTGCAGGAACACCTGTAAGCGAAGTCATACCTTAGGGAAGTGTGTCATTTCTCTCTGTGTAGGTCTCTCATTAGTTCGCTATATCAACATCCCACGGGTCAAGTTTAATTTACAAGGTGAACCAAACAAAAACCTAAGAAGGGAACAAAGATGAGAAACAAATACGGCATGAAGTTCTCAGCATTCCTGCAGCTGTGAGCGTCATTCTATAAAACGTGAATTCCAGAGAACCTTCACTTATCATCTTCCATCTCCTCTCTATTCCCCCTTTTAAAATTAATTTTATACAGTTGCATTCTTTGTAAGGAGCCTCAGTTCTCCTTATGTTTTCTTTCTTTCTAAATCACGTCAATTATAAAAATAAGCTAAGCAAAATGCATTCAAAACAGAGGAAGTCCAACACATATTTAAAGATGCAGTTCATCAGGGGCAGGACGATGTCTGAACCCTTGGGACAGCTCAGCCTTACCGCAGCAGAGAAAGCAGTGGAGTCAAGAATGGCAGTGACCTGAAGAGCAGGACATGGCGTCGGTGATGTCCCAGGCAGCTGAAGCTCAGTTTGGTAGAAAATAACGTCTGTGGAATTCCTCAGAGTAGTGTCGTTCCCCGTGAAATTTTGGTTATAGCCCCCACTTCCTCGCATGGAAACTCGTAAGAGCTTTTCAGTTATAACCACCAGGATAAAAGTATTCATTTTTCCATTCAGAGCCAGCCTACTCTGCCCAGGCTGTGTATTTTTTTCAGGCAACTTCTGACCCTATGGGGAGTAAGTGCTGAAGACATTGTGCATCAAAGCTGTGTGGCGGTTGGTGGTGAGGGGCAACCACTCAGCAGGTGAATGACCCCATTTCGAGCAGAGGAAGTGGCTAGAATTCAGGAGGGAAGAGCAAATTCTCTTACATCGAGCTATAAGGACGACAGTACTGAGTTCCGTGGACTAGACAGGAGAAGGGTTTTGGAAGTAGGAGCATGCAGGTTAGCTCAGGGTCTAGGATATCAGATCACTCCTGAAGCTGAGAGTTAACTGCAAACTGTCCGACGCTATAATTCTGCCTCCAGGTGTCCTGGAGTGAAAAGATCCTTTGGGATAATCACGAACTTTGGGCATGGGAAGACTCAATACAGTATTTATTATATCTTGGTAATAAAAAGGAAGAAAAATTTGTATACTGCACATTTGAAATAGACCTTAAAATATGCTAAACTCATCTTAACATATATTAAAATATTGAACCAAAAGATATCTAAATTACACATATTGGCTCTCTTTTTAATCCCATACCTGTGTAAGCTGAGGGTTTGATTTCAAAAAAATTATGTGTACATCTGCTAATACAACTGACTTTTTCAATGAATGTTAGTTCCACATTTATTTACTTTCATAAGACAAAATGTAGGAAGATCAAAGGTGCTTATTACTGAATACGTAATAGGCTAAACACCCAGTCACTTTATAGTAACCCAGGAGCCTGACCAACATCAGGACCCCTCACCTATGTCCCCGTGGGCCACTCACTGTATGTGGTACTGCAAGTCATTTGAACAAGGTTCTATGATGGCTACTTCAGAGAACTTAACCAAAAGTATTTGTTCCTTGATCTTCAGACACTTAGAAAGCCCAGAGATTTTAGAATGCTCTAACAAAGAAAAAGAGGAATATTTGGGAGAAAACCAGATCTATCCTTTTCCTTCTCTACTTAAAAGCAAACATTCAACAACTGCTATTTTGGACATTTGGTTCACTTTTCATGGAGCAATTTGGTTAAATTTTCCCTTTGCAATTTCCCAGAAACATTCTCCTCTTCAGCCATCAATTCCTGACCAACACCCTGGCCACTTCACGCCCACATTAGCCACCCCTGAGCCCGCTGCTCGGTCTTTACCTTCTCTTACATCACACTGTTCAAACACTACTTTCAATTGAATGTCTCATTTATTTTAAAACATTTGAAGTATTGTTAAATGTTGAAAAACATGCGAGAACATGGAAAAGAATAAGAAAGAAGATGTTAATCACCCAAAATTTCACAGAAGGGGGGAACAAAACAGCTAATATTTGGTAGACTTCTTTTCAAACTTCTCTAAGAATAAATATATGTGTAGAGAGATGTTTTACAAAATTGGGATTGATTTGAATACATTGCCATCTGATTTCTACACTGAGCAATATATCAAATGCACTTTTCATATGTTAACTGTTATTTGAGATATGCCGGAATGGCTTTGAATGATCCCAGTATGTGGATGCATAAGTTTTTTAAGAAGTCTCCTTATTGTTTCGACATATAGGTTGTTTCCAAATTTGCACTATTATAAACAACACAACAACTGTACATGTACATAAATTTCCAATTTTTCCAATAACTTCTTCCAAGTGGAACTATTGAGTCTAAAGTTGTGAACATTATTTTAAGGTTTTTATGTAATTGCTACATCACCCCACAGCTGGAGTGCAAGGTGACCGTGGGACCAGCAGAGTTGAAAATCTGGTTAAGAAAATGATAAAAAAGGAAGCATTTTCCATAGCAGCACCTCCCTGCCCTCTTATACCACCCACAGCCTCCCGCCAGGTCTGTACTTCCTTAGGTGAGTGAAACAAACCTTCACTGCATTCTTTTTTACGTACAGAGAATATTTATCTACCTCCAAATTGTTGTGAATTACTTACACAAACTTGTTCAAGTGCAACATCCTTCTATCAGCACAGACAGGGATGGAATGAAGTATTATTGCCCCAATAAAACAATGGAAATATGTTATCACTGAAAGGTTTTGACATAGTAGCAAGGTATTTAAAAACGAATTAATGTCATTAGATGAGGATTGACATATATGGAAATCAGATGGGAAAAAAACAGATTATAAAATTTATCTCCTTTATCATAATTGTATTTTTATATGTTACATTTATTTTTTTAAACTGAAAGCATATAAATGCAAATCTCCTAGAAGTTACCAATGTTTTACTCTAGGCATGTATGCCTTGTTTTAAAAAAAAATGCTTGGTGCCAGATTTTGCCTAACTTGTACAGGCAATTAGGATTTGAGTTTAGCTGTGAAGGTAGAGATGGCACAGAGAGGACATCTTCGTCTGCGAGGTCACTTTCAGGACACAAATGGGGCCCAGCCCGAATAGTCTGGTTGGAACCAAATTATTTTTTTTCTTGAAGTTGCTCATACTAAAATTTTCCAAATAACAATTCCAAGTTTTAGCACTGTTTACTGACTTTCTCAGTAAAAATTTCTAAAACATAGAAAAAAATGCTTTATTCCCTCCCATCTTCCCTGTGAATGTGTTTAAACTTACAGACACAGTACCTATCTGGAGCTTCCCATGTCTGCTCCTGCCCTTGATGACAGGAAGAATATTATCATTATCTTTAAATGCACAGCTGTAGTCTGGGGTTAGAATTTTTCTTGTCCCAATGAAAGAGATTTAAAAGCATTGTCTCTCCTGATAAAAGTATCAAAGCTTCTTTTTTATGTTAACTAGTAATAATTAACCATGATAACATTTCTGAGCTCCTATATGTGATGCTTAAAAGCAATATTTGAAATTTCCTAAATTTGATGCAAAAACAAGACATTTCATTCTTACTAGAATCTTTTAAAATAAAAATATAGACATATTTCTTCAGTCATTTTGTTTGCCATCACTGCATATTATAAATAATCCTCTCAATTTTGAGGAACTTAAAAAGTTACCTCTTTTTAATGTGACTTTACTAGTTTTAGTTCTTAAAATCTACAAAGGTTTGGGAGATTTGATAGCCTATCCCTTGGTTTTGAATACAGTCTTATTGGTGGTCAACAATGAATTAGGTAATATATCAAAGTAAGTTTAATCTTAGGTCAGTAGATTTTTAAAACTTGGTAACATTGCAAATACTTTTAAGGCAGGAAGCATGGGCTGTGTTGAGTATAAGTAGGAAATAATTTTATGTTTTAGTCATCAATCTTCACTGAGTCCAAGGATAGCCTAATTCTCTAAAAGTTCAGGGTTGGGCCAACTAAGACTGTTGGTAATGATTTTAACAATGGCTAATAAATTAGGTGGTATATTGCCCCATGGATTCTTACAAATATTTAATAATAAAGTTTATTCAACCATGTATTAATTTCATGTTGCCGCTATAACAAATGACAACAAATTTCATGGGTTAAAGCAAGACAAATGTACTAACTCACAGTTCTGGGAGTCAGAAGTCCAAAATGGATCTCATGGGGCCAAAATCAAGTTGCTGGCAGGGATGCACTTCTTCTGCAGGCTGCAGGCTAGAATGCCTCTCCTTGCCTTTCCGGCCTCTGGAGGAGGCCCCGTCCTTTGCTCCATCTTGAAGCCAGGGTTCATTGCATCTGCATCCATTAAAGCCTGCACTTGTGGTTACATCAGGACCATCCCAATAATCCAGGAAAATCTCCCATTCTTGAGATTCTTAACTGACTCACACTCTGCAAGGTCCCTTGTGCCACATCAGATAACATTCACAGATTCCACGAGTTAGGGCATGGACATCTTGGGGGAGTCATCATTCTTATATGTCAAATATTAGTGTTCCCAATATGAATAGACAATACATATCTACTGTTTGAGTTTCTGTCAAAATGGATTTGTTCCCTGATACTCTGAACGTTTTATGGCTGACGGCCATTTCTCCTCATGTTGAAGAACTAAAAAGAAACATTAGTGATACTGATGTAACATAAATGGGCCACTAAAATGTAAAAATCTTCACAATGAGGGTATGGAAAAAAAGCACTTTATGATAATTTGGTAAGCATAGCATTCTAATAACCTTTGACATATCACTTTATTCTCAAAAGTTTGACCTTTGACTGTGTCCCCTTCTCACTCAGGGAAAGAGGAAGAAAAGAAGGTTTGCACACTAACCATTAAACATTGTCATTGGATGGTACCTTTGGAGCAATAGCTGGTTAACAGAGCTCGGGCTGGGCATGGCCTCTCCTGCTGACCTTGAATGATGGTCGTGGGGTTTTTCTCTGACTGTCCTAAAAGTCAGAGGTGCTCAGCCTCTTTAGCCTGGGCTTCCACCAGGGCCTGAGGGAAAAGCCTGGCATGTGGTCAGCACTGCAGCTTCATGGCCTTCTTCCAAGCAAAATCTTGGCAAGGGAGGGAGACCGGGTGGAAGGCGCAGCTTCACAGGAGGTGGTCTTCCCATTCCTGCAGGGGCATGAAAGGAACCCTGTGGATGCCAATTCAGCAGATGTAGTGAGAAGGTCACAATGTACTCTCACGTCAGACACGCTCAAGACAGTCTGAGTGGGTCCAGCTCTGATTTTCCGCTCCTCAGTCTACTTAGAGTTGGAGAAATTTTTTTTAATTAATTAATTAATTTTAATTTTTTTGAAGAACATTATGTTTACTAGGCTCCCCCCTACCCCAAGTTTCCCCCCACAAACCCCATTACAGTCACTGTCCATCAGCATAGTAAGATGTTGTAGAATCACTACTTGTCTTCTCTGTGTGGCAAAGCCCTCCCCTTTCCCCCACCCCCACATTATACATGCTAATCATTATACCCCTTTCTTCTTCCCTGCCCTTATCCCTCCCTACCCTCCCATTCTCCCCAGTCTCTTTCCCTTTGGTAACTGTTAGTCCATTCTTGGGTTCTGTGATTCTGCTGGTGTTTTGTTCCTTCAGTTTTTCTTTTGTTCTTATACTCCACAGATGAGTGAAATCATTTGGTACTTGTCTTTCTCTGCCTGGCTTATTTCACTAAGCATAATACCCTCTAGCTCCATCCATGTTATTGCAAATGGTAGGATTTGTTTTCTTCTTATGGCTGAATAATATTCCATTGTGTATATGTACCACATCTTCTTAATCCATTCATCTAATGATGGACACTTAGGTTGCTTCCATTTCTTGGCTATTGTAAATAGTGCTGCAGTAAACATAGGGGTGAATCTGTCTTTTTCAAACTGGAGTGCTGCATCCTTAGGGTAAATTCCTAGAAGTGGAATTCCTGGGTCAAATGGTAAGTCTATTTTGAGCATTTTGAGGAACCTCCATATTGCTTTCCACAATGGTTGAACTAATTTACATTCCCACCAGCAGTGTAGGAGGGTTCCCCTTTCTCTGCAACTTCACCAACATTTGTTGTTGTTTGTCTTTTGGGTGGTGGCCATCCTTACTGGTGTGAGGTGATATCTCATTGTGGTTTTAAATTGCATTTCTCTGATAACTAGCGATGTGGAGCA